TTTATTCCTCGTAATGAAGAAATAAATACAACGCGTTTCTATGAAGAACGAGTTTTCTCTGTAAGCTTCTACGAGTACCTATACATTATGTTTTTGAATCGCACAAAGTGCGGCGGGATAAGATTCTTCTATTAAAAAAAAAAAAAGCAAATATGATGTGATATACATTAAAATGACAGTGATATTGATTTCGCACAATGGGACTTTTAGCCAAATTATTTGCGCTCTTATCGCCGTTTATCCTCAGAAAGAAAGCTAATTTCCGATATTGCTACAGCAAAATAGAGGATACATGGGAAGAGGTTGTGGTAGAGACTAGCAATTATTGGGATCTGGCGGCGTAACAAGGTATTCATCAGCGCGTTTGTGATCGGACAATGCCCGTATTGTATACGAATCTTGCGGTAAATCGCTCTTCCTTCGTAAAAGCGGTTTCACTTTGTTCACGTTTGTCATTTTCTTCGCCTGCATAATAAAATGCTGATTTAAAACAACAGAATAATAATGTCATTATCCAATTAAAAAAACATTTCAATATTGATTAATGTCAATTTATACCTCATTAGCTTTAGCTTCGATTTTCTCCAAGGTAAGTGGAGTTTGATCTGTATCACCATCTTCGTCAGGCGGTGAGCTATCTACATGTTGTGGTGACGTATAGGATGTATTATTCGTTGTGCCTTTAATTGCCATATTATAATTTGGGTGCCTCATCGCAAGTGCTTCTACGCGCATCCATGCTTCGTCTCGATCTTTCATAAGTTTTCGTTCTCTTTGACGTTCCTGCAAAAGTTTCAAAATAAATGTAAAAAATAAAAGTTACTATATTTATTTTGATTTTCTTGCAAGATTAAAACAACATAGAATCATGTAGCTTTAAAAAATTATAATTTTAATTCACATTAATTCTAAGTTTTAAACATAGTTGTAGCTAACCTCATTCAACATTGAATCATCCAGTTAATTAATTCAAAGATTTATATGTAGTATATACGCAATGAAAATATAAATCATTGTCTACGAATATACCTGATAGTATTGTGTTGTACACTCATCGAATACTTTTTGATTCATTTCCATGAAAAGTTTCAGAGCATTATAAATTAAACCATGAATTGTCTTATTCCAATGGTTGCGGGAGTTTCTGTAAAAAGCTGGATACATTATCGGTAAAATAACCGAGTAATTATCCGATATCAAGGACATTATGTATTCATTATTCCAATAATAGAGAGCTCTTTCTGCCACCTACAAAACAACATATGAGCAGATTAGACATTGCACGAAACAAAATAACAAAGTTACGCTTACCTGGAAATGCGGTGATGACACGCATTTGGCTAATTGCCTAAACAATGGATCCATGACTTTTTGGAATTCAGCTGGCTCAATGACGTCTAAAATTTCTTCAAGCTCGTTCAAAAACATAACTTCTTTAGGGGAATGTGTTTTTGGCCAAAATTTCAATAGATTTCTGATTACTGGTTCCGTCAGCGACGGATCCTTTTCCAGAAATTGGACGACACAGTATGCTAGTTGTGGATGATACACAGATAATGACTTAGCTTTATGCAAAGGTAACAAGACTTTTAACAAAAACACTTTGTGCTCTTCCTTTAGCGGCAGAGCAAAGCCATTTATAATACTGCAAAGAAAATAAATGCCGATGAATATGTTTCACTTATCTCTTAATGTTATTAAACTTTTATTTAACTTATATTATTACCTTCCTAAAATTTCAAGTAGTTCTGCGATGCCGTTGTGATGTTCTGTCTCATAAATAAATCGATAGAAAACATTATTGATCTGTTTCCTAATGTATGCCCTAAGTCCCAGGAATTTTCCATAAATCCTATGGAGGGTCGTCTTAAGGAAATCCCTCTCTCTCGGGTCTTCGGAGTCGAACAGTTCCAAGAGTTGAAGCACGAATTTTTGATCTATGTAACGTCTTGCTATGGTCGGCTGGAAGTCCTGCGATTCCAACAGCCGCAAAAAGAATTCGTAGACGAGTTGTAAGTGCGGCCAAGCAGCCTCCAAGGTTGGCTCATCCTCTTCCGGATCAAACTCCGCGCCATTAGGATTTGATGACGGGGGTAGCGTCCGGAATAAATTCACAGCGAACTGCAAGGATTTCCTTCATCTCGGTAAAATCTTTCAACTTTATTCTCTCAAGGCACCATTTTACTTAGGTCATATTTCTACAGATATCTGTAGTTTTCTTTGAAAATGTAAAAACGATGTAAATGTTAAGAATATTTCCTATATTTTTATATTATCAGTTTTATTATATTTCTGCAAATTTTTTTAATTTTCATATCTCTAGCTATATTTTTCATTAAAATTTAAAATCTTCATTTTTATATATAAAAAAAAAAAAAAAAACTAAATTTTTAGCTTTAACATAGTCTTTTTAATTTGCAATAAGCTTTTATTTTTTATTTAATTTAAAAGTGTTCTTACGGAGTATTAGAATGCTGTTCTTACCATGTTCACCGCTTCGGGATATATCGCTTCGGTAATAACATTTTTGTTTTTGGTTACATACTCGACCATCTCGTGGAGGGCAGTGCGCTTTACCTCCTTCCATTTCAAATCTGACAAGGGATCGGATTCGAAGTCGAAGAGGACGCAGCATTGCCGTAGCTTCTGTATAAAAAGTTCCTCCCGTTCGTTTCCCTGTTGTGTTTCTGGAATCAGATAGCCGGTGATTAATCGCCGCACTCGGCAGCTTATATCTTGAGAAGCGATAATAGTATTGCACCTATTAATCATATTAATAATATTCTACATATCGATATACGCCAATACCGATCTAGGAACATTCCAATTTCTCTCTTTTTTACACTACTCGTTTCTTTTTCTCGTTAGAATTAATTTGTTACAAATACTTTTCCCACTTGTTTAAATGGCTTTCTTGACACAGGTGAAAAATGATTCTTGAACGAAGTTAAATTTTTTTAAATAATGTTTGTAATTATGTATCATAAATCAGCGTCAAGATATTATCGATTACAAATTTCTTATATATTGATATATAATACATATCTGATTTTTTATAGTTGTTATAAAAATATGCAAATACGCCGAGCGTGTTAACATTCCTGACTTTGAAATAATTTTGTAATCTTCGATAAAGGCCAAATCAATTTGATAAATTATGCCTGATAACAATGAGAGTATCCGCAATGTAATATGCCGCCGATAAAAGCGGAACACGCGATCATCATAATCGATATTTTATATTCGTTTCTTTGAACCAACTGATTTACATAGAGATAGTTATTCCAGATGTTAATAAACCTCCGTTTCTTATTAGTTGAGCATAAAAAGCATACTATTACAGGATTGCCTTTAGTTAATATTTATGCAAGTCACAATAGCATGCTAATGCACAATAACAGGCTTTTGATCTAAAATCTTAAAAGCGCTGTTTTTCGATTAATCGAGTGAACTCTGCAGGAAGATCGATAATGACCTTCAAAATACCATACAGCCGACCGGAGTATCATTATTTATCGTTTGCTATTCCTGGCAATCTCTATAATAATAATAGAAATAACGAAATCGATTGACGAATTCACGACGAGCCGACTATTTCACGGACGTCATCCTCGAACACATCTTTTTATAAATACACAAATTTAACAAAAAAAAAAAAGATAAATAAACTGTTAAATTAATCCTTAATTTATAACAATAATCTGACATCATTATTAAAAAAGAATATAGATAGGATTATTTTACATAAATAAAGTCATAGTACGTAATAGTGAAAATTTGAGTGTAAAAATGATTTGCAGAAACTGATTTAAGCGATAGAAAGCTTTACCGATTAGAAGAGGTTGCAAAGGTTGATAGTGCAGCGCAAACGTAACCGGATAAGCCTTGCTTGAATCCTGGGGCAAGACCGTCGCCAGAGCAAGACCCTGATGAAAGCTGGGACTTTTCGGCAGAGCGCCGCCCAGAGATGGGCCAATTCCACCCACGTGAACCATTGCGCGATATTATGTTCAAGGCTGACTTTACATTCGCATCTTATTCACAGGCAAATTTCTTTGATTGCGTCGACTTAAGCAGTATACATTTTGCTATTCACGTATCGTCTTAGTATCTTCTTTGTAAACACTTTGAATTCATACAGTTGGCAAGACCGGTGTCTTCTTGATAACAAAATTGTGGTCAATAATATTCCTTATTTTTATGCTTTTGCTCTTTAACAGCAAAAGCATTATATGCATATTTAACACAGCATTAACTTAAAAAACTTTATTCAGTAAAACTATATAATATTATAGATAATTTATTTAAATATTATTGCAATGAATAATTCTATTATTCAAGCATCGTTTAATCAAACATTTGAATGCCCGAAGTTTGTTCTTCATCTGAGACATGAAAATAAACGTTCCTTGCAAAGTATATTGATATGTATGTCAGTTTACATAAACATATTTAAATACGTTGTATATGATGATAATTTCTCTTAATTTCAATAATCTGAATTCCAGAAACTTGTAGAAATGCCGGCAAAACATAAACGTTCTGATTTAAGATTAAAAAACAACATCTCGAGTTACATTCTCTTGGCATTCGTTACTTCAGAAAGAAATCTCGGTATGAAATAAAGTATGAAACAGTATGAAATAAAGAAAGTAGCTTCACTGAAGCAATTATGTTAAAAAAGATATAGATTAACAACTTAGAAGTCAGGAAATAGAATAAGCATAAGAAAAGCTTAAATTATTTTTATAGTTTTCATTTCTTCACATTCACAAAATATTTTAATAAATGTAATCAATAAACTTTTTTATCCTAAAAGATAGCCATTTAATCGTTAAAAATTAATTATACTAATATTTTATTTTCTGACCATTTAAGATAATAGACGTTTTATATTTTGAAAACAACAGTTGTGTGCAACATTAATAAATTGCATTGGAAAATTTTCCACAGAAATTAATATGCATGATCAAAATAAAAATAAATATATAATTGTAAATATTAATCTGATCCTGAATCTGATTATGCATTCTACAATCCAAGTGACTAGATTTTTTTTTTATTTAAACGATTTCTTAATTTTTTAAATTTATTTTTAATTATTCTTTATATTGCATAAATTATATTTTCGAAAAATATAATAAAAAGGAAAATAATAAATTGAAAAATATTTTTCCATAATCGAAAAATATTATTCCATATAACCAACTCTATCAGAGAGCCCTTTTGTGTTTTTAATTAGGTAACTTTGAGCTCACTTTCTCAACTTTGCTAATTTATATCCGTTCCCGGGTTTGCGAATTTAACTCACTCGGACGGAAACCAATTTCCGGAGAATGTTTTTATTACATAACTCGCAATCATCCGCCAATTTACTCAGCGAAATGCGACGTATAACTTTATTAAGTCACGGCGATTGTCGGCCTTCGACAAGTCACTTTTACCGGCTTCCCACGTTATTTTCCGCATAGCTCGCGCGAAGGAAATGCATGGTTTTACGCGTTTTGCCAAACCATGCAGAAACGTAACTGTACTTTGATGCAAAGCAACATGAATCGTCTGTTAGTACGGCACAGTTGCGGGAATATTTTTGCGGAAAACAAATATTAAATTATTGCATACAAAAGTTTTTTAAACATATAAATTAATACGCGCTGTATTATATGTGAATTTTTATTCATGTTGGAAAACATAAATTAATAAATTCAATTAACTTTCTTCCCACGTGTGTAAATATATTTCACCTATATATCATCTATATTGTGGTAAATATATTAAGTAATCATTATTAAATAATAAGGTCAACCAAGCGCTCAATAACCTATAAAGGTAAATCGTTAAATCATTCAACCGTTATTAATAATTCCATTAAATTTTCAATATTATTTTTCATAAAATGCATTAATAAAATCAATTTTCTACGATAATACAAGAACTTAACGAATTTTCATTCTATATTAAGATTTTAATACAATTCCACCATAATTCTATATATCCTAATTCAGTGCTTTTGAATATACTACATTGAATTGGATATTAAGATTTAATTAAAAATAAATTTTAAAAGCTCTTATATCATTTTTTTACCCAATCTGTATATCAAGCCATTTTTTTAAATTACATAACTCACCAATCTTCGGGAATTTCTTTAAAATTCACTAACTTCATTTTCTTAATCGAAAAACTTTTAAACAGTAAGATTCATAAATTTTCTATTAAAAACTTTTTAACTAAAAGAATTCAACATTCATCAAAATGTTTTTCAACTTATTAATTAATTTAAAAATTTTTTCTTCTTTCGTTCAATATCTATTCTCTTTAAATCGACTATAAATTATCCAAGTGTCAAACAATTATTTCTATTAAATATTTCCGACATCTCCCATAACATCCATCAAAATCACAATTCACTTTATCTCAATCGGCGACCTCAAAATCTTGCGAGTTTCAAGAGCCAGTCGCGCCGCCCTTAACCGGATTTTCTCATGGATTTGCGATAACAACCCCACTGACACCACTGGAAGCCGTTAATTCCCGTCGTTGTTTAATGCTCGCAACAATCTGTTGCTTCGTACGTGTCAATCGATCGGCCGGGAAAAGGCAAGGGCTCTTCTCGGCCTCTCGCTTCTCGGGGTGTTCACGCTACGAAGCCACCCTCGTGAAATACCGGCGAGCACTAGCGGCGCGTTCTCGCGGGTCCCCGGAACCCGGTGACCGCGTTCGCGAGGGGCGGGAGATGGCGAGAAGAGGGGGGGGGGGCAGGCTGGCGGGTGAGATTCGCCTAAGTGGCACCGGGTTCAACGAACTTGAGGGTCCTCGCCGGGATCTCGCGGGTCATCTCTCGATCGGTCACGGGGTCGATATACTCCCCCCCTTGTCGAGATTCTGTGCAGGTGGAGCCGCGGCCAGGTGGAGCTCTCGCGAGGGTGCCGCGAGGGTGCCGCGCGGGTGTTCGGGCGCTGGTCTCGGAGCGGTTGGAAGAGAAGGATCAGAAAGGGATGGCCGAAACCGAAGGCGGGGATGGAAGAGGGAGGGGGCGAAACCCGACTGTTTACGTTGGGAAAACGGGGAATCATGAATCCGAGGCGCCTGCGCGACCCTCGTACACGCAATCGATAGACTCTGACGTACGTAGAAGGTAGGTCTCGATTGACCGGCATTACATTGGGAAAGGGCAGGCGAACCAATTTGTCGCCGCCCTCCTCTCCTCTTCCTCTTCACTCACTCCTCTCTCTCGCGTTTTATTCATCTTTCCGTTGTTTGTTTTCTTACGATATATGTCTGCGCACGATATATGTCGCTTTTCCGATCTTTGCCCCGATCCAATTGTCCAATTATAGTAACTGTCTCTGCGAACCAGTTTTCTGCATAATGATTTCTTTACTTGTTGATCAAGCTGATTTCAGATCGCGAGCTATTTAATGATCGCAAAGTGAGTATGATGTGTCGTACGTAAACATACATACATATCCACGATATGACGTGCATTCCTTTTCATTTTTATTACCGTCTACATTATCAATGACCTATGACGCAAATGTAAAAAATGTAAAAAGACTGATATCATTTTGTTTGATCTAATAGGAATGGTAATCAAGTGGGATCTAATTTTACTTTTTTATTTATTTTCCAATTGCAAAAAGAGCTTTGGTTTTCTATCCACATTAGGAAAACTAT